TGAAAAAATTAAAAACATTCTATTTTTATTTAAAAAAGCAAATATATTTTATCTACATAATAATATATGAAGAATACATTAAGGTTTGAATATCCACAAAGAAAGACAAAATTTTACATTTTCATTGTAATCACCATGATGTCAAAAGGCTTTTAATCATATGGAATGTTTGGTTGTTCTGATGCTCATTTTTATATGTCTTAAAAGGAAAAATCAAGGATTTACAAAGCTTACAAGAAACTGATTAGAGCTATAAAACCAACATAAAATATTGTAGGAGAGGAAGAGGCATAGTATGAAGAGCTTATTCTTCAAATATACTTACCACTTGTTTAAAAAAAAAAAAACTTCTTGAGACAGTCAGTTAAGATCCCTCCCAATCTGGCCTTAGCCTCTCCCCAGACTCATCTTCTCTCATTATTTCAGTTACAACAGAATATTGGCACTGCTTGGTCTCCAGGGCCCTGCTCACATTTAAAAATTCTGTCAGGAATGCCCTAACATACTTTTTAATTTTGAAATTGTCCTCTATCTTCAAGTTCATCTCATGTTACTTCTATCCTCCTAATCAGAATCAATTGTTTTTTACTTCTGTGATTCCATGTATATACCTGAATTATAAATTATACTTATTCATTTATTTACCAATCAACATATACCAAGTACCTACAATGTGCTAGGCATTGTCCTAAGGCTGGAGCTACAAAGGTAAATTAGACTCACATGGAACTTAATGTTCATATTCATAATAGTCTAACTTGTACTTTGCATTGTTATTTAAGTGACTATTCTTCCAGAGGTTTGTGAGTTCCTTGAAGTCAGGGCCCACACTTCCAAAAACAGTTTCTTTGCCCATGTTTAACATCTATTATATTACCTTTAGAATGGCAGCAATTGGTTTTAATACCTGGCTTTTTGTCATTTACTGACACTGTGAATGTGAATAAAGCATTTACCTTTCTGATTCATTTTTTTCATATATAAAATGGAGGTAATAGTACCTATGTTATAGATAATTAAAAAAAATAAGAAGTATACTTTGAACCATAGAGGTCCTTTAAAAATCCACTAAATAATAATAATAGTTGCAATAGTAATAAATGACATTTTCACTTGTATTGAACAGAATTACAACTGGGCCATTTATTTGCCTTCATGAATAGAGATTAACTATTCAATGACTAAAGAAACTAATGCAAAATCAGTCTGTTCAATTCAGTCGCTCAGTTGTGTCACACTCTTTGCAGCCCCATGGACTGCAGCATGACAGGCTTCCCTGTCCATCACCAACCCCTACAGCTTGCTCAAACTCATGTCCATTGAGTTGGTGATGCCATCCAACCATCTCATCCTCTGTCATCCCCTTCTCCTCCTGTCTTCAATCTTTCCCAGCATCAGGGTCTTTTCTAATAAGTCAGCTCTTCGCATCAGATAGCCAAAGTATATACAGTCAGGAAAAACAAGACTGNCCAGTTATAACTGTTGATTCTTGACCTGCATACAGATTTCTCAAGAGGCAGGTCAGGTGGTCTGGTATGCCCATCTCTTGAAGAATTTTCCAGTTTGTTGTGATCTACATAGTCAAAGGCTTTGGCATAGTCAATAAAGCAGAATTAGATGTTTTTCAGGAACTCTCTTGCTTTTTCAATGATCCAACATATGTTCACAATTTGATCTCTGGTTCCTCTGGCTTTTCTAAATCCAGCTTGAACATCTGGAAGTTCACAGTTCACATACTGTTGAAGCCTGGCTTGGAGAATTTTGAGCATTCCTTTGCTAGCAAGTGAGATGAGTACAACTGTGCAGTAGTTTGAACATTCTTTGGCATTGCCTTTCTTTGAGATTGGAATGAAAACTGACCTTTTCCAGTTCTGTGGCCACTGCTGAGTTTTCCAAATTTGCTGGCACATTGAGTGCAGCACTTTCACAGCATCATCTTTTAGGATTTGAAATAGCTCAAAAATAGTTCTTGTTTTTTTAAAAACAACATGGCGGAGTAGGAGGAGATGCACTTATCTTCTGCGAGAATGCCAAAATTACACCTTGCTGCTGAACAATCATTGACAGGAGAAAGTTGGATCCCACCAAAAGAAGATAACACATGTCCAAGGGCAAAGTAGAAGCCCCAGCAAGACGGTAGGAGGGGTAAAATCGTGTTTAGAATCAAACCCCATACCCACCAGAGACGCTCGGAGGGTTCAAACAAAACCTTGTGCGTACCAGGACCCAGAGACCCCACAGAGACTGAGCCAGAGCTGCCTTCTGAGTGTCTGAATGTCTTCTGTGGTGGTACAGGTCAGCAGTGGCCTGCCGCAGGGGCAGGGGCTCTGGGGGCAGCAGACCTGGATCATACAGCGTGTGGCAAAAGCCATCTTGGAGGCGGTTGCCATTAACCCCACCACAGAGCCGCTGAGCAGAAGACCCACAAACTGCAGAACAATTATACTAAATAATGCAAAACAGTAAGTAACAAAACTAAAAAGTCCTTCATCACCATAAAAACAGATTTAGATTTATTTTTTACAGTGGTATCTCACTAGCTGATGGCCTAAACTTATTTCCCTAGTGAGATCTAGATATCATCTTCTATGTAACCCAGTATGACATACTGTTCATGGTTCAACAGAGAAACAGAACCACTAGGAGGTAGGGATTTGGCCACATGCTATTATGGGAGCTGGCTGAGCAATCTTTGTATATGATGATGTGGTTTGAGGTCCACAGGGAAAGCAGTTGAGAAGGGATGATGGAGGGGTAAGGACAAGCTAACACCGAAGAGCAAGCTATAACCCACATGGATGGGCTCATTTCAGGTCTCACTGCCTCCAACCTGGACGCAATGAGTGTCCTTTAGGAGATGCTAGAGCCCTTCATCACAGAGCAAAACGTGTCCCTGGCCCAGGGGTAGGAGAAAGCAAAGAGGATAGGGAGCAAAGGGAAGCAGTGCAAAGAAGGCAACTCTGGGAAGCACAGTTCATCCTAACCAAGCTGACATACTGCAGAGACACCACAGTCCATCCCTTGTTAAATAGGCACCCATACAATTTCTTTAAATCACAGTTAACTCCTAAATGGAGACAAAAAGTCCTGCTAAAGCCTGACAAATACAACTATACAACAAATATGCTAACCCTTTCCCTAAAATAGGATACAAAGTCTCTTGTTTTGTCTTTGGGTGATGTTCACATTCTTCAAACTGATCCAAACTCCCCCTTGGTATCCTGAGATACCAAGATATATAAAATTAACAATTATCAACATGTCTTATATTAAATGGTAGGGGAATGAGACAGTGGGGGAAAAAATACTTGGTTAATACATACAAAAACATTCATATAAAAAGGGGAAATGAGGATTTCCCTGGTGGTTAAAAATCCTCCTGCCAATGCAGGGGACACGAATTCAATCCCTGGTCTGGGAAGATTCCACATGCCTAGCAGCAATTAAGCCTGTGTGCCACAGCTACTGAGCCTGTGCTCTAGAGCCCATGAGCAGCAACCACTGAGCCCAAGAACTTAGAGCCCGTGCTCTGCAACAAGAGAAGCCATTGCAATAGGAAGCCCAGGCACCACAACCAAAGAGCAGCCCCAGGCACCACAACTAGAGGAAGCCCACATGTAGCAATGGAGACTCAGCACAGCCAAAAACAGCAGGGGGGAACGGATACATTTATATACAGCTACTACAGGGCTCATGTCTGTGCCTGGTCACGCGGTCACACCTAGTGCTTATAACTACCTTTTCCCACAACCATTGCATGTTTCCTTTGCCCTCAACAAGTGCCTATTTATAGGTACTATGGTATTTATAGCTCTTTTATCTGGTAAGGTGGCCCAAGCTTTTATTCCTGAAGTGCTGTTTAAATTGGGGTTTTTAATTGATTTAATCACAGGACAGGGGAGTACTGAATTTCAGATGTTCTCTTCCTTACCCACATTATAGAGCATCAACCCAATTCTTCCCTAATAGGCTCAATCTAACAGTAATTCCTTTGCTCTATCTGTTGATTTACAAAGTGGCCATAAGGAGGCAGTCCCAATTTCCACTTCAATGGTATCATGTGTGTCCTCAGGTAGAAGCATTCATTTCTTTGGAACTAAGACCTCTAGACCAGCAGATCCTAAAGTTTCAGAGATGGGAAGCAAAAATTTTGATAGTGGATCACTAGGAATAATTACATGTGAAGCCACTTTCACTTCTACACCTTGACTTCTGACTTGTGAATCCTAGTTATGTCAAGAAATAGCACAATAAGTAAAAAACTGATTTAGAGCATATACAACCTCTTGGAGGACACTGCCCCAATCCTACAAGGCTCTGCCACCTAGCTGCACTGTAACAAAGTCTTCAAAAGGCCATTCTTCCATTTTCTCAAGCCAGCTGCTTCAGGGTGACAGGGTGATGGTAGGACAGGTGAAACTAGTAAACACGGACCCACTGCTGTATTTCATTTGCTGTGAAGTGAGCTCTTAAGTCAGAAGTGATGCTGTGTAGAAAAGTATGGTGGTGAAAAAGGCAATAAGTCCATGGGGGGCAGTTTTACTAGAAACACTGTGAGTAAGGAAGGCAAATCTATATCCAGAGAAAATGTCCATTACACTAAGAACAAGGCACTGCCTTTTCCATGATGAAGGAACATGGTCCAATGTAGTTAATCTACCACCTCTTGGAGAATGGTGCCACTGTTTCAGTCTTATACCCTAACCCACCTTAGTAAGCGGAGGTCCATATTACTGAGCCAATGCCCCCTGCCCCTTTTGTTCATCAACCAATATATACTTTCTAGTGATTGTGCTTCTCTGATTGAATTCTCCATTTGGTATGGAGGAACAGTCTTAAAGACAGGTTCTATGAATTGGTTCTGGGTTATCTGGAATTGGTTCTTTCATCTTGCTTTTGTAACACAATTTTACTTTTGTATTTAAAACACTGAGAAAGTACTTATATAAAACTGAGTAAACTTTTTGATGACAAACACAAAGTATTCAGGTTATACTTACTAAAGAATGAATCAACATATTAAAACAACTTTTCTGAATCTCGGGAGGTACATTTGCAAAGCTTCTCTCAGACCAAAACCTTGCAAAGTGCTTTACAATCCACCTATTGAAAATCAAAGAATCTCAAGTTAAAGAAATGAAAACATTTTTCATTATAATATTCAATAACATTTTGGTTATCGATGATATAAATAAATGATATGATATAATATAAAATTTAAATATGTATGTTTTAACTAACATTAACAGTTAATTTTGTGAGTGCTGTAATGGACTTAAGTATGTTTCCTTTTCTGTAAACACATATTTTAAACCCACTTTGGGTTATGTGCATGGATTTTAACATAAGTAACCATGGTTCAGCTAAAAAAGTCGATCCCAAGCATCTTGAGTAATATCTAAGTCAATACTTCTTCTCAATTGTTGTAACTAGTAGAGCATTAAACTATTTACACTGTGCTCAAGAAAATATGCCAAGTTTAAAATTTCCCAGAAACTTAGGAGAATGGAAGAACAAAATCCCTAAATCAATAGTATCAGTACTACTTCAGATCACTTACTTCATGCAGTCAGCAAAAAGACTTTCCACTCCAACTGAATGAGCAATAATCAGGCATTCTAATATAGATGCCAATCTTCTGGAAACAGGCTAAAATTGACAGAAAACACTACAATTACTATCTTTCAACTTATAAGGCTGAAAGTATTTGGTTCATAAAAATGTTCTGATTTATATACCTAAACTACAGAATCAATATATGTAATACAAAAGTATTTATTCTTTTAAAATCAAGTAGCACTGATAACCTTTAGTTTTTATAGCATTTGAGTTCTTTTAGCTGCCAGGATGCACAGTTTTTATTCTAATTTCTTTTAGCATAAATATTTTCTAGACTAAATGTGGTAGAATAATTCCTAGCACATCACACTGAAACACAACCATACAGTGTAATCTGCTTCCTAAAGTAGAAATATAAGTACATGTGCAATGGGAGATCCTACACTGACTTCAGGCAAAATGACAGAATTTAATTAGATCGTGATTATATGAACATATTTTAAAAAGTACATATACAGAAGTAATGAACTAAAACAATAAATAAATAAAATGTAGATACAAGTATAGAAAAACTCACTGCTTTTGGTGTTAAACCTCAATCAGTCAGTTTAGATCAGTTCAGTCGCTGAGTCATGTCCAACTCTTTGTAAGCCCGTGGATTACAGCACGACAGGCTTCCCTGTCCATCACCAATTCCTGGAGCTTGCTCAAACACAAGTCCATTAAGTTGGTGCTGGCATCCAACCAGCTCATCCTTTGTCGTACCCTTCTCCTCAGCCTTCAATCCTTCCCAGCACAAGGGTCTTTTCAAATGAGTCAGTTCTTCACATCAGGTGGCCAAAGTACTGGAGCTTCAGTTTCAGCATCAGTCCTTCCAAAGAATATTCAGGACTGATTTCCTTTAGGATGGACTGGTTGGATCTCCTTGCAGTTCAACGGACTCTCAAGAGTCTTCTCCAACACTACTGTTCAAAAGCATCAATTTTTCGGTGCTCAACTTTCTTTATAGTCCAACTCTCATATCTATACATGACCACTGAAAAAACCATAGCTTTGACTAGACGGACCTCTGTTGGCAAAGTAATGTTTCTGCTTTTTAAAATGCTGTCTAGGTTGGTCATAGCTTTTCTTCCAAGGAGCAAGCGTCTTTTAATTTCATGGCTGCAGTCATACCTGTAGTGATTTTGGAGCCCCCCAAAATAAAGTCTGTCACTGTTTCCATTGTTTCCCCATCTANAATGAAAACTGACCTTTTCCAGTCCTGTGGCCACTGCTGAGTTTTCCAAATTTGCTGGCATATTGAGTGCAGCACTTTCACAGCATCATCTTTTAGGATTTGAAATAGTTCAACTGGAATTCCATCACTTCCACTAGCTTTGTTCGTAGTGATGCTTCCTAAGGCCCACTTGACTTCACATTCCTGGATATCCAGCTCCAGGTGAGTGATCACACCATTGTGATTATCTGGGTCATGAAGATCTTTTTTGTATAGTTCTTCTGTGTATTCTTGCTACCTCTCCTTAATATCTTCTGCTTCTGTTGGGTCTGTATTGTTTCTGTCCTTTATTGTGACCATCTTTTTATGAAATGTTCCTTTGGTATCTCTAATTTTCTTGAAGAGATCTCTAGTCTTTCCCATCCTATTGTTTTCCTCTATTTCTTTACAATGATCACTGAGGAAGGCTTTCTTATCTCTCCTTGCTATTCTTTGGAACTCTGCATTCAAATGGGTATATCTTTCCCTTTCTCCTTTGCCTTTGCCTTCTCTTCTTTTCACAGCTATTTGTAAGGCCTCCTCAGACAACCATTTTGCCTTTTTGCATTTCTTTTTCTTGGGGATGGTCTTGGTTACTGCCTCCTGTACCTTGTCACAAACCTCCGCCCATATTCTTCAGGCACTCTGTCTATCAGATCTAATCCCTTGCATCTATTTGTCACTTCCACTGTATAATTGTAAGGGATTTGATATAAGTCACAGTTGAATGGTAAGCCTCAATATGTGCTACATATTCCCTGTGCCATGTATTTTCAGGTTTTGGACTATGTTCCTAAGCACATCTATTGCCCTATTGGGGTGTATACAATTCAGTTTCTCTTTGTACACATTCACTAGTTGTGATCTGAATTTATACACTTAATAAAGACCAGCAATCAACCAATTTGTATATATAGTCTCTAAATATGTACTTCTGAAGATACTGTGCACTCAGAGAAGGGCAAAAGCTTCTTCAGAAATGCCTCCACCATCAGTTCAGTTCCAACTCTTTGCAACCCTATCGATTGCAGCATGACAGGCTTTCCTGTCCATCACCAACTCCTGGAGCTTGCTCAATCTCATGTCCATCAAGTCAGTGAGGCCATCCAACCATCTCATCTTCTGTCGTCCCCTTCTCCTCCTGCCTTCAACTTTTCCCAGCATCAGGGTCTTTTTCAAAGAGTAAGTTCTTTGCATCTGGTGGCCAAAGTATTGGAGCTTCGGCTCCTGCATCAGTCCTTCCAATGAATATTCAGGACTGTTCTCCTTTAGGATGGACTGGTTGGATCTCCTTACAGTCCAAGGGACTCTTCAAGGGTCTTCTCCAACACCACAGTTCAAAAGCATCAATTCTTTGATGCTCAGCTTTGTTTATGGTCCAGCGCTGACACATACATGAACCACTGGAAAAACCATAGCTTTGACTAGATGGACCTCTGTTGGCAAAGTAATCTCTCTGCTTTTTAATATGCTGTCTAGTTTGGTCATAGCTTTTCTTCCAAGGAGCAAGCGTCTTTTAATTTCATGGCTGTAGTCACCATCTGCAGTGATCCTGGAGCCCCCCAAAATAAAGTCTGTCACTGTTTCCATTGTTCCGCTATCTATTTGCCATGAAGTAATGGGACCAGATGCCATGATCTTAGTTTTTTGAATGTTGAATTTTAAGCCAGCTTTTTCACTCTCCTCTTTCACTTTCATCAAGAGGCTTCTCAGTTCCTCTTTGCTTTCTGCCATAAGGGTGGTGTCATCTGCATATCTGAGGTTATTGATATTTATCCCGGCAATCTTGATTCCAGCTTGTGCTTCATCCAGTCCAGCATTTCACATGATTCACAAGTTAAATAAGCAGTGTGACAATATACACCCTGACATACTCCTTTCCCGATTTGGAACCAGTCTGTTGTTTCATGTCCAGTTCTAACTGTTGCTTCTTAACCTGTGTACAGATTTCTCAGGAGGCAGGTCAGGTGGTCTGGTACTCCCATCTCTTGAAGAATTTTCCACAGTTTGTTGTGATCCACACAGTCAAAAGCTTTGGCATAGTCAATAAAGCAGAAGTAGATGCTTTTCTGGAACTCTCTTGCTTTTTCTATGATCCAACAGATGTTGGATTTCCATAAAATTCCATAATTTCCACAATATTCCATAAAAAATATTAAACTGCAAAATAATTTGCTGCTTATATGCAATGGCTGGCAAACCATCACTCTTTTTGTGAATAAAGTTTTATTGGGACACTGCTATGCTGTTCCATTTACATACGGTCCATATCTGCTTTTGGTCTACAACAGAAAGCCGAGTAGCTGTGATGGAGGCTGTATGGCCCATAAACCCTAGAATACTAATTATCTAGCCTTTTATAGTAAAAGTTTACTGATCCCTGGCTTAAAGGGATAACTTTAGGTTTCTAAGAATTTTACTTATATGGAAATGCTGATTTCCTAAGTGTTTTTGTAATAGGATGATGGACCTTTTAGTCGTTTTCAAAACCTGCTTATAAAATTTGGGAAGACATCTATTTAAATCATAACCTAAAATATATTTTTAAATCAGTGGCAAAAAGCATGTAATGTAGAACCCACTAGAATCATATAAATGAAGTTCTAAAATTTACTTGAATAAAGGCAAGACTGTGACGTTAATGAAATGACTGAAGCTAGCTTGACGAGTTCTGGGGCCAGTTCACCACCACATTTTACCCCAACATATATTACTGTGGGATGAGCTACTATAGATTTACTATATTTAAGTCACTGCCAAGAAACTGCATAATTGAGATCTAGAAGTTAAAAATTGTATATTCAAAAATATATTTATCAAAGTATATATTGCCAAGGTAGTAAAGCAAACAATTTCAAGATCAGATCAATAAAAAGTTTGCTCTTAAATATCTGTTACCACAGTAATATAAACTATATTAAAATAGAATAAAAAGGTTTTCAACAAAACACACCATATTGATAATTCAAAAGAATTTCACCTTCTATTCTTTTAAGAGTCTCATGCTCTACCACTGAGCTAGCCAGGCCCTTCTATTCTTTTAATGGCAACAAATACGTTGTATTTTTTAAAATTAAGAGGAATTTTGAAAGCTGCATGTAACCTATGTATACTCTTGAACATACTAAAAAGTAGAAGCAATGGTCCAAAGACAATCCATAATAAGAGATTAGTCTCAAAATGTTTCATGTAACTGGTTTATTGAGGAATCTCAGTTTAAAGCAGATACTAACATAAAACTTTTTATCCCCAGTTAGTGCTATCAACCAAGTTGTGTCAAATTCACCTTTTTTCCATCCTTTAATGATTACAGGCGCATTCCAGTACCTTCTGATTACTTTTGGTATTTAAAATCAGTATGGTACTATTTTAACACCTATCTCACACTTAATTTAAATCTTTTGTTCCCCATCACTGACTACACTTTTAGTTGGGGAGGTCTGGAATGCAGAGTAGAGCACGATCCCTTGCCCCTCCATTTTGTGGGTCTAACTCCTTTGGAATAGGGCTGTGGATGGGTATGGTCACTTTAAGTAATTAACCAGTGACCAGCAGGGTAATAGGAAGATGTCCTTGAATGATCTAATCCAGATGCTCGTGGCCTTTGCTAATGTGGCAGCTCATTAAGTGACAGACCGAAGTTCTCCCCAGCCTCTCAGTGGACAAAGGTTCTTCTAGGATTCACGATGCTCGATGCCTCCCTACATGGGACACAGTGTTATCTGACCCTGTATCAGCCTCTTCTAATCTTCACTGAACCACTAAGGTCCTTTTATTTCCTTGCATACCATGTATACTTGGGGTATGGAATGGACTTTTATTTTTTTTCTATCTATGAAAATAACTACTGTCTCTAGTCACCAGGCTAGTACTGGCTTCTCCAGCAAGCCTCCTCCTCCTTTTAGGAATCTCCATATTCAAGTATATTCTCACTGGTTCCTGAGACATACTTTAGGCTCTTCCAAGAAATCTCTTAGTATTTTCTTCTTTGATAGAAGTTCCAGAGTGGTCTGGTTATACAGATGTCCATGGTAGATTCCCATCTCAGGGCTGAGAGGACACTATATCCTCGTTGCAAATATCCCTATCTTTAATGTTTATTTGGGATATAGTCTTGGATCTCCCTGCTAACTTTCACTTGGCAGGGAAGATGAGGAAAAAAGATGAAAGAGAAGGAAAACTCTTTTTACTAGGATTCTTTACTTTCTACAGTGCTGAGGATATCACAGACTGTGCCCCTTCTTCTAGTTCCCTTCCTTATAAAAGCTGGAATGAATGGTAACTGATTAAAGGCTTGATAAAGGTACCTGAGGAGTTTAACTGTTTCTCAGTAAAACGGGAAGGGTTGGTAGTGGTGGCAGACCCAGTTCATGCCTCTGTTTTAACCCATGGGGTGATATCTCAGATACAACTTATAAAGAGATAGGAAAAGTCCTACCCAACATAAAAATCTAATATTACATATGCTTAAAATTATTAAAATTACCTCATTACAATGCATATTGTTGGTTCAAGTATCCAATAAGAGGGGACTATTTATTAAACAATCCTTTTAATACTTGTTTTTTGATGATTATAAACATAATACATGGCCATTGTTTACAAAGAAAAGCATAAATAAGAAAATAAAAAATAAGAGAAAATTAAAACAATGTACAAATGGCTTTGAAATAAACAGTACAATACCTTTCTTTAGACAACAAATTTAAGTTTGCATAAACTAAAATTAAAAAGTCAGTATTCATATAGCACCTGGAGAAGTAGAAGAGAACTATATCCCACTCCAAGTACATGCTATAAAGAGAAGTGGTAGAAAGGAGTTTTTTTTCAGGGGAAAAAACTGATGAAGCACTGTGGTGCCCTTTGATAAATGGAGAAAGTAACCCTAGTTTCCAGCTTCCTTTCTCTCAGTTCCAAACCCTAACTAACTGAGAGTCCCAACTGTGTACTCCAGTTTCGAATTATATAGGATATTGCCATATTCTTTCAGTAAACCCCCACCTCAGTTTTATCTTATTTAAAATTATCTGAATTGATTTCTGTTTTATACAAGCATGTCCTAAGAGTTATTTCTCAGTAGAGTTACCGTCAGCTAAAACGACAATACTAACAGAGTTAAGAATCTAAGAGGTAATAATAGATTACTTTAGGTATTAGGTAAAAGATTTCTGAGACTCAATAATTACCTTCTGAAAGAAATTACAGTAATCTCTTCTTAAAATATAGATTGCTACTTCTTTTAATCCTTCTAGTCCATACATATCAGCCATATTGAGTATCTGACTAAAATAAAAATAGATGCACTGTTAATTCTTCTATTTAAATACCAAGGCATAATACACAATAATTTCTTAATGATAAACAGTTTGTTTAGAGAAAATAATAATCTTAATTATTTTAATTCTAACTTTCTGCCCTACATAGTACTCTATACAGATTATAAAAAGCACATAGGTCGAAAGTTAAAAGCACTGTAGCTTGATTTGATTTGTGGAGAATAACACAAAGTAAATTTGGAGATGTTTTACAACTTCCCCTCATCTTCTCAGTGATATATACAACAAGGCCCAGGAAACTGCTTCAAAGGCTATACAGTTACAGCTCCTCACAATAAATAAAAATTTAGGAGGAGGGCAACTAATTGATGCTTATCACATTGAAAATGCCCACAGAGTACCATGAGATTAGAGGTGGCATCCAATGACTCAGAGGGTTTCTGTTGCTTCTTTCAATTGGCAAGGAGTTCTAAGAGCCCACACATACGCTAGGTACTTAGGAAACCTACAAGTCTCAATTCCATGATAAAATTTCATACAGGTTTCCAGGGGCAAAACTTCAGTACTCGATCCCTGTGACTCATGATATTTTCTCCCTCAAATCATATTCATTCAGTTTATAACTAAAGGAACTAATAAATATTTACAATTAAAAGAGCAGCCTTCATTCGTGTGATGTTAGAGTAGCAATAAAAGGAGAGAACATCCCGAAAATTAGAAGAGCAAGATAGATTTCACTCTCCAGTAGGATTTCAGCAGCTTAGATGGCATGTTGTCATAGAGTACTAAAGAACCATACCATTGTGGATCTTTAGGATGCCTATATTCTCAAATTACTTTGAGGGTTTTTTTTCTTTTGACATTCTAAAATTTAAAAATAAAGTAGCAAAAAAATTTATCAAATTCCAAATTTGACTAAAGTTGAAATAACTTTACAAAAATCTGTCATTTATTTTCCAAAACAAATATTAAGTTTTTCAAACATAGCAGCAATTAGTCACCTAGTCATGTTCCACTCTTTGGGACCCCATGGACTGTAGCCCACCAGGCTCCTCTGTCCATGGGATTCTCCAGGCAAGAATACTGGAGTGGGTGGCCATTTCCTTCTATTTAAGTCTAATAAAGACTTTTCTTAATCTTACTACTGTGAATAGCTAGATCATCTTTTCTTCTAAATAAGGTGACTTACTGTTTTTAGATATTACCAAAATATGTACAACATACAGCAAAATAAATAATAAAAGTGAAACTTCTACTTCACTGACACTTGTAAACACAGCTCAATAAAGCAGAAGCCACAAAATATCAATATTTTTATATTTAAAATGATTAAAAAATAATACCTACCCAACATTAGCTTTGATGGGAAAGTCCAAAGTTCCTCCATATATAAAGTGCATCATAACATTCATTTCTACATGGCTTATACTGAAAAATAAAAGAAAACTAAATTCAAATCCAGAAATAATTAAGGTTTAACTGATATCAATGATACATTCTATTTTCCCATAAATTTTCAGTCAAGATAAAGTTCTAATCTCATTTTTATCTGAAGAACACAATTTTCAAATAACACCCATGAAGTATGCTATTAATTTAAAAATGAAGTTATAACTGCAGCTATGCGTGGGTTTTTATATATTGTAAAACGTTATTAGTATATGATAAAATAATTAATTCTTTGTTGGGCATCTTCCATGAGAGACAAAGTTAGAAAGGACTTTAGAGGTCATAGTTCAACCTCTGGTTCATTAAGAAATCCTCCTCAGCATCTTTGAAAAATGGCCTCTCATTTTGCTTAAAGCCTGGGATGAACAACTTCACTAGAAAGATTCTTGCTATGCCATACAGATTTCTTAATTTGTAATACCTATCCAGCGGCTCTAGCTCTGCCAACATCCTCGTTTTACAGATTTAAAAGACATGACTTAAAGAAGTAGTCTGAGGTGATAACCTTTATGTTCCATTGACTACTAGATCTCAGGCTCTCAGTTCACGACTTCTTCTCCCAGCACCCCAGATTCAGCCTTCTATTACTCTTATATTTTGTTCATAGCACTGTTACAGGACTTCTTGCATCTTGGCCCTCCCTGCTCCCCTATTCCTCTGTATCAAGGAAGGTTAATTATCTGGCTGGTGGACAACAACCACTGGTTGTTGATCAAGAGGAACTTCTTGTTGTTGCTCAGTTGTGCAGTAGTGTCCAACTCTTTGCAACCCTTGGCCTGCAGCATGCCAGGCTCCCCTGTCTTTCACTATTTCCCAGAGCTTGCTCAAACTCATGTCCATTGAGTCGGTGATGCCATCCAACCATCTCCTCCTCCATCATCCCCTTCTCCTGCCTTCAGTCTTTTCCAGCATCAGGATTTTTTCTAATGTTGGCTCTTCTCATCAGGTGGCCAAAGTATCAGAGCTTCAGTGTCAGTGCTTCCAATGAATATTCAGGATTGATTTCTTTTAGGATTCACTGGTTTGATCTCCTTGCAGTCCAAGGGACTCTCAAGAGTCTTCTCCAATACCACGATTCAAAAGCATCAATTTTTGGCTCTCAGCTTTCTAGATGAGAGGTAAACTGATTTCTTTTCTCCTTTTTTCACTGCTGAACCAGTGGTAAGAGCTGGTGGGGGAGAAGTGTACTGCTATCCAGATTCAGACTTTCTCTCAAGTGGCCTATCTTAGAGTAGACATAGCAAGCAAATCAACTTTGACTTTTGCATAAAAGCAACCCTTGGCCTGCAGCATGCCAGGCTTCCCTGTCTTTCACTATTTCCCAGAGCTTGCCTTATCAAAAACTAAGGAAATGTTTTCTAATTTCACCTGCTGATTCTTTTGTCTTATTGTGAGCAGGAAGAAATTTATTGGGCCCCCTTCAGAACTCCAACAGATAGCAAAAATGGATAGCAGATACCCTTCTTCCCATCACCTCTTTCCACAGATTCAGCAAAGAAAAGAGAAAAGAAATCAAATTACCTCCCATCATCAAATTAACTCTCAGGTCAGAGTTCGTCCTGACCAATGCCCAGTGGTTACCAGATAATTCACTCTTTTTGGTACAGAGGATTAGAAGGTGGAACAAGATGCAAGGAGTCCTGTAACAGTGTTATGAACAAAACAGGAATAACAGAAGACTGAAGAATAATCTAGATGCCTAAGTCAGAGCTGGAGGTTCATCTTAATCCTCTTTCTCATTATATCCTATCATTTTATACCTTCAAATGTTTTTGAGTTCAGCCATTGCTGTCTGTTGCTGTCGTTGTTTAGTCGCTAAATCGTGTCTGACTTGTGATCCATGGTCTGTACTCTGTCCATTGGATTTCCTAGGCAAGAATACTGGTGTGTGCTGTCGCTTCAGTCGTGTCTGACTCTTTGCGACCCTATGGACTGTAGCCTGCCAGGCTCCTCTGTCCAAGGGATCTCCTGGCAAGAATACTGGAGTGGATTGTCATGCCCTCCTCCAGGGGATCTTCCTGACCCAGGGTTGGAACCCATGTCTCCTGTGGCTCCTGCATTGCAGGCAGATTCTTAATCAATGAGCCACCTGAAAATATTGGAGTAGGTTGCTATTTCCTTCTCCAGGGGATCTTCTAACCCAGGGATCAAACCCTTGTCTCCTGCATTGGCAGGCAGATTCTCTACCATTGAGCCACCAGGGAAGCCCATTTGCTACATATTTCCCCCTTTTGTTGCCCCAGTTTAGCCTCTCAGTTTCTTTCATCTGTACTATACTTCATCATAGTACTCTCATGTAGGCTTCTTGCCTGAAATTACCTCCTTGCATCCCATTTCACACATTGCAATCAGAGTGACTTTGCTAAAATGTAAATCTGACATAGTCCCTGATTTTTAAAACCCTTTAGCAATTCTCCATAGGACCTAGGAAAAAAAGCTCAAATTCCTTAGCTTGGTATAGAATGTTCTTTATTATATGATCTCTGGTTCTCTCTCTAGCAGCTGTTCCAGGACCAGGATAAGCAAACTACCATTTCCTATACCTGAACGACTTACAGTTCCTTATACATCTGTTCCTTATCACATACTGTTCACTCTGCTTAAAATTCTCTTCCTCTCTATTTATTTCATCTTTTAGACACAAGACACGTGGCTCTTTACCTCTGATTGTTTCCTTAACACTCCCAAGGGGGAAAAAAAGGAAATCATTGAATGTTAAACATAAATAATAACTTTTATTGAGCATTTATTATGATTTAGTCACTGAGCTAATAAGCATTTCAATGCAATTAGCTCACTGAATCATAACAACTCAATGGGAGGTTATTATTATTAGTCTTATCTTATAAATGAAAAAACTGAAATTAAGTAACTTGCCCATGGAGGTGGGTGCTGGGAGAAAAATAAATTGCCCAACATCAAGTGGCCAGTGATGCACGGGAATTTAAATCCAGGCAGACTGCACTGGAATTTGGAATTTAAATCCATACTCCAATGCCTGGGCTCTTAAGCAGTATAATACACCCACCCACCCACACACACACACACACTTCCATTATCACATTTATCAAACTGACTTATAATGTCTTTGTTTACATATTTGTTTCTCCTTCTAAACTGAATTCTGTGCGGGCAGGATTTGTGTCTCATTTACCCTTGCATCTCTAGTAGAAGCAGAATATCAGCATTGATTCATTATTCCCAGGATCAGAATTTCCTTTCCCTGCACAATACTGGAGCTCTGCATGGAAGCAGGCTGGGGACAGTGCTGATAAGACATTCACAGTCTGTTAAGCACAGAATCTAATGTCTGCTAAAGGGAGACAAGGAGAAAGGCAAGAAGAAAAGAAAGGGAGTTCTACAGGGTACGACTCAGAAAGGTGTTTGCTTTGATTCTGTGGCCTTAAATAATATATGCTCAATAAATGTTTAATGAATATTTAATAAATGGCTTATTAGGGTAGTTGCAAGCATCTCCCAAACCTTCAGAAGGAATACTGAGTTGAAAACATATAAATATTTTTAAATTTACTTAATATATATTTATTGGCTTCTACAATGGCTAACTACTCATTTCTGCTGATTCAAAACTCCACATCTCTTCTTTAATACTTAGAAAAAAGCCAGATCTCTAAATATGCTCATTTATACACATGGATATGACAAGAGTTGATCTCAGTATAATTATGCTATATTATCTGTAGTTTGTTCATACAAAACAGTAGCATAATAGTTACATTCCATGCACTTTTCCTTGAAATTTCAAGAGCCATTCTTATTAGTGTTAATGAGGATTGAATATTTATAAGAATAGTTTCTTCTAAGACTTGACATATTTAAGCAAAGGAAAATAATGACTAGGTAGAAATAAAATTTGTATTAAAATAAACAGCAAAATCTGGATATTTGAGCTTATATATCAATATATATGATAGCTATAAAAACAGCAAGAAACTGTTTTCCTGCTGTCTTGACAGCTGTTTTATTAAACTGCAGCCTCATTATTGTAAGTCATCTGTATGTTTATGAAAAATGTTTATAAAGACATGATCAACTGACTCGCCAAAAAAAAATTACTGCAATAACGCACAGTTTAAATAAATGGAAAGATTTAAAACACTATTCCCATTTAAATGTAAACAGAATAAAATCCTATAGGAGATGAAAGTATCACATACACTCAACAGTTAGAAAAAATTAAAAGACCATGCGAGAACAGAGCACTAGGATCAGAGATAACATGCACCCAGTCTAAAACCTCTATGCTATATATGTGTTTCCTAAAGTTTCAGGTTTCTCCATATGTGGGCTAAGGTAACATAGGGCCTCATTCACTCATTCATCATTCATTTACATTCAATATCTATTGAATGATAGGCACTATTCTGGACCTTACATTCTAAAGAGAGGACATAGACAATAAATATGTCAACAAATGTGTGTGCTTAGTCACTCAAGAGTCAAGTCGGACTCTTTGTGACCCTATGGACTGTAGCCCACCAAGCTCCTCTGTCCATGGAATTCTCCAGGCAAGAATACTGGAGTGGGTTGCCATGCTCTCCTCCAGGGGATCTTCCCAACCCAGGGGCTGAACCCGGGTCTCATGCATTGCAGGCAGATTCTTTACTGTCTGAGCCACCACAAAAGCCCATGTCAACAAATGTACGAAGATGATGTTAACAGTGAAAAATGAAGACAATCTAACAGAATAACATAGAAAAGAGTAACTGGAGAGTTGGGCTGTAGCTCCTTTAGGTGGGGAAGTCTGGGAGAACCTTATGGGTCAGATCATACAGGTTCTTATAGCTTATGATAAAGATTTGGGTTCAGTTCTAATTGTGATGAGAAGGCATTGAAGGATTTTGACCAGAAGAGAAATATGACCTGACTTACATTTGAAAAGGTCATCCTGAAGGTTCAGAGCAAGCCAGGGGTCTCTGAAGGGAGATGAAAAAATCCAAATTTATATTCTAAAGTCT